TTTTTAGATTAATTTTTTAATCTACTATAATTATTATTAATTTTTTATGATAAAATAATTGTCCCCCCAAGTTGAATTGTCTACAGGTCAAGGTTTCCGCATGTGGGGGTCTCACTGTATTATTTTTATCAATGTTCCATTTTTATCTTTGGGTTCCAGCAGACCTGATGACCTGTATGAACTTCACGAGGTCCACCGGTCACTCCGCCTCAAGCAAGAAGCCCCCCTCGTGCGCAGTCCCTGGTTGCCCATAAACCCCCGGGTCCTGACCCCATTTGCGCTGAACTTTGGAAAGGCCCCCGGGATATTTTGGCCGACAAAGGTTGGCTTCACACCCAGTGGCGTCCGGAAATACACTGCAAAGCAGGTGCTGAAGAAGAAGGAGAGGCGGAAGCGGAAGAAGATGGCCATGGACGAACAGAAGAAGGACGCTTCGGGGGAAGTGAAGGTTATTGACATGTCAAAGGGTTTGCGATGGTGATGAAAATGAAACCCCTCTTCATGATGCGAAAAAGAATCCTGGAAAAATTTCGGCATTTCTTATTTCTTCACTGCGTCAATTTCAATATATATATATGTATATGTATATTTATACTTTTTTTTTTCTCTCAAAAGAAATTCTGAATCAAAGTTTTGTGTCCATCTCAGTGTTTGTAGGCTTGGTCCTTTGCGGAGACAGGATGTAGTGAAAAAGGTTCGTTTCCGGGGAATCGACGGATATGATCGCCTGATGGTTCGGTTTCGGTGAGTTTTCCGAATTTCCTGGCTGCTGTTGCTGCTGCTGATGGTGGAGGGATTCCAGAAGGGCGTGGCTGTACTCCAGCAGCATGCAAACAACTTCTCCAATTGTCCACTCTGATGATTGCAGCGTGTTTAGTACAGCTTCTGCCTGAGAGGAGAGAAAAATTGGGAAAATGTTTTTGGGATTAACATGTTCCCTCTGTATGGGTACTGATGCTTATGATGCCGGGTAACCCACAGAAAATTTTGACGGATTTTCGAATAGAAATTACTCAAATTCAGCCTGAAAAATATTCAAAAGTAGCATCTTCTGTGAATTTGATCAAGATGTCAATGTCAACCTAGACTTCTTCACCCTATAGGATGGTGGAGGGTTCCTGGACATCCTGCAACAAAGTCAGGATTTTTTCAGGGGCAGTGCATTTCAGTTTGACCAAATGTCAACAAAATGTGCCCAGTTTGGGAAAGCTGAAGTTGGGAAAAATCTGGGAAGGTTGAATCCTTCAGTATTCCAAAATCTCTAATGCTAATCCTGTGCAAGAAATTCCTGAAAAAGCCACCCAGTGAGGGATTTTTTTTTTATTTCAGAGGCAAATGTTTCTGCAGGATTAGAAAAAAAAAATAGTGTACTTTTTCCTGACTTCAGGCCTTTATGCAAAAATGAAATTTTTAAAATTGTCAGTGCTCATGGGCACAAAATTTTGCAAAAATATCCTGAATTTTCTGCGCAAGGGTTGAAAATGGGTACTCCCTCATCTCTACAACAGAATCTAAGGGATCACACACAAATTTCTTGTTGAGAGAATCTTTTTGTAATGAACCCCTGTAAAATTAGGAGAGGGACCAAAGATACATTTGTTATGCAGAGAAAATTTTTGTAGACAAGATTGTTTGTTGAGAGAGTCCACCTGCATAACAAATCACTGCTTAAAAAAGCATTTTTCTGGCCGCTATCCAAGAGCAACAATTTTATTTGAGTCTCTTTAAAAACTATTCAAAATTTTTTGGCAATACTGTACTATAATTTCAAATACATTAGCATTGTACTGTAGTATGATGCAATTTTACAGCATTTGTTCTGAAGTACAAAGGCTATATGTAAAGGTGTCTAATATGGAGAAAATTTGAATTTGCACTCAATTTTTGAAGAAAAAAACTGCAAACATATGCTGGGTGCCAGTTTTCATTTGCTTTGAATAAATCAGAATTTTTATTCCTGATTTATTATTCTTGAAGGAAAACACGCTTTGTATCAAAAACTTTTCCTCCAGGATTGATGAAGTATTATATTATGGAATGCCCCAAAGGCCCAAACCAAATCTCCCATCAGCAAAAAAGATGAAAATTACAAGCAAAGTTATTCAAAAGTGGAAGAAACAATTCTTCCAGTTTGTCTAGGTTCATTTAATTGCGTGAATCTTCATCAATGTTTTTTTTTTGCATGGCTCACTTGATTGAGTTTTGGATGATCCTGAGTGTAGTACACCATACAGGGAGTGTTGCACTTGCTAGCAGCCAGCCACTGAAGCAGAAACTTGAGCTGTGGGTCTCCCATTTTGTTGTCACAGCCCCAATTCCCCGTCAGTAGAGGTCGGGGTAGACCAGGAACAATGGCCAAATTCTTGAGTTTGGACAAACAATCTGCTGCTGTGCCTTGGTTTGGCTGCACAGCATCAGATGGACCCTGTAATGATTATGATACCAACAAAAATAAAGTATAAAGAAATACTTCACTTGTGAGTGAGTATAGTCTCATCATGCTGCAGCTGTTGATACATTTTATGTGTACCCCCTCCCCCTTTTCAGTTGAAATGTGCACAATTCAAGGATTTTGAGCAGGTAAATGTTTTTACTCAATTAATATGAGAATTCAGTTGCATTCAATTTGCTCCTAAAATAAATAATTGGTGTCAAGCCAATGACAAGAATAATGTGTGAACACATTTTGGAGAATTTTCAACAAATATCAGTACAGTACTCATGACCCACTTATCACCCCATTGTTTGCTACCTATTGTGGGGGAAAAGTGTACTCAAGTAAAGATGGAAATTTTGTATGCTGTATTTCTGCAAGTATCTTGCATGTGTATCTTTTTTTCAGAAAATCAAGGTAGAAAAGTATATGGGCATGCATTTTTTGAAAAGGAAACTTATGAAATCCCAGTGGTTTAATTCATAAGTTAATATTATGGATATGAAATTATGTTTGCCTCCAATCCTGTTTCAATTCTTTGTGCTATTTTATTTCAATGTGGGATTGTTGTGTTGAAAAGTACGGTGAGACCCCAAGTCTCTTTTTCCCTGACGCTTACACTACATAATTTTTAATTGGTATTTTATGGAAGAAATATTCATCAGAATTCCATGAAGAAAACGGGAAAAAATATCTTCCAATTGAAACTGATCCAAGAAATACCTTCCAACTCAATAAGGACATTTTGAGCATTGATTACTGTACCCCGGCACAGTACATTGAAATGTTGGCATTCTCTATGAAAATAAAATTCAAGTCAAAAGTAGAAAGGGAAGTCCCTCAATGCTGGAGGTAATTTTTTAAAATTAGCTACATTCGTGGTAATATGATCAGAGAAATGCAAAAGAACTTTGGCCTGAAACCTATTCACAATTTTAGCACACAATGTCTGCAAGTTGACTCAGTGTCTGCATGTTGGAACCTTTTTATGCATTTTTTATTGGAAAATAAGTGTCCATCATAGGTAAAATTGTCCACATGTTGAGGTGTCTGCATGTGGGGGTCTCACTGTATTATTTGATATTAGCAGCCATCAGCAACTTGGTTGTGTGTCTGAGGCTGTGGGAATATGGTTTTGGGTGGATTTCGTTCCACATGAAAAAAATTGCGCAAGGCTTACTCAAGGATTTATGACATTTCAGTAAATATTGTACATATTTCCCACCTCACATGTAAAATGAACATGGTGCATCAGAGATCCTGATTATGAACCAAGTATAGAATCAGAAAAAGATATATTATACTGTAAAACATGGCTTCACACTTTCATGAAGGACACTTATATGCACATGCACACACAAAGCATGCAAACCTGGGAACATATGTTTTCAGCATCTGGTTAATTTGAAAATAACAACAGGCCTTCCATTGTGTATTGAAGACATTTCTTATTGTGACCACCACCACCACCACCAGCAGAGGTTGAGAAAAAAAAAACTCACTGCTCCAGCTGTTTTCACCAAATTATTGTGCTCATCAGAACCTCTTCTCTTGTCAAAGAAAAGCTGATGCCAACTAGAACTGCGCTGCAGGAGACTAGATTCTGCCAAGAGCCTGGCCAGTGGCTGTTTCATCAGACCATCACTCTCTGATGATGAAGGTTCTGATGCACCAATGTGCCAATAACTTTTGCTGCGATTCTTGAGGATGCCCTTGCGCAAGGGTTTGCTTGGCAGAGCTGGCAAGGATGCCCTTCTGCTGATGACCATTTCTCTCAGGACAGTCTCCACCAGGGTCTCTGCTAGGGTGTAGCTGAACCCCTCTAGGACATCTGGGTTCAGATTAGCAACAGCTGGAGGTGAAGAAGTGATGGGTTCTTCTGTCTTTGGGGATACAGCAGCAGAAGCATGCAGGAGGGTTTGCTGCTGGGCTCTGTGTCCTGCTGTTCTTGGGCTCTTTTTTGGGTTGTGGTGGTTTTTCAGTGGCAATAAGACAATGGATAACTGTATAAACAACCAGCACAAGATGAACACAGTGTTACTGTAGAGGGATTATTATTTTTTCCATATAATTACATTATAGAATACCAATCTGAGGATGTTTGTGTTTGATTATAGAAATTTGTCTTCATTTATTTTCTTGATGCTCTCTGTGTAAAATAGCACAAGATGCTTTTAAAACTGTGCATTCTTTCAAATTTTGCTTGAAATGGTGAATTTAAAACTGATTACTATTGTAGTACAGTGGCCCCCCGCCTAACAGACCTCCTGTGTAAGGGATTTTTGCCAAACAGACCAGCTTTGCAAGCAGTTTTCCTCCCGCTCAACAGACGAAATCCGCCAAACAGACTTCTTTTGGTTTGAAATTAGTGTTGAAAATTGAAATTTTAATTGAAAATTCTCCAAAATGTGTTCACACATTATTCTTGTCATTGGCTTGACACCAATTATTTATTTTAGGAGCAAATTGAATGCAACTGAATTCGTGTAAAGGACTTTTTGTCTAACAGACTCGTCCCTTGCACAAATCAAGTCTGTTAGACGGGGGTTGACTGTACTGTATATGAAATTGAAGTAATCTGTCAAGTTTGTGCAATTTTGCTCTTAACTTTCAGAAATTCACAAAAGTCAAAGGAAAATGATGTGTTGAAAAAGAATACCTTTTCTCTCTCAGTATCCCAAAAAATCTGATGTTTTAGCTTGAAACATTTCAAGAAATGGGTATATATTAGCAAAAAAATTGTTCTCTTGAAAACAATTTTAATATTTGATTCACTTTCTCCAACTTGGCAAATGTTAGAATGAACAATTCACCAGAAATTTGAGGTTTTTTTCCATTTGGAGAAGTTTGCCTGCAAGAAAGTCTTGGTTGAAATGAAATTATTATCACAAATTTTAGCTTGGAATTTTTTTTTCAAGTCTTTTCAGATCTGTGCCACTGTACTTATACCCAGAGCTTCAATATCTTGAAAGTTTTCAAATTAAATGACTTTGTTGTGAGAAGATACTGTATAATGTTTTATGTTTTATTAAGAAGTTTCTCTAAATTTTCTAAACTCTCTCTGTGCATGCAAAATTACTCCTGAAGTCACAGAAGGCCATGATAAACTTTTATAACTGTGCATTCTTCCAATGTAAATACAGTTCTTGCAATTGTGAATTTTAGACTGGTCAGTATGAAATAAAAGTTATCCCGGAAAGTTTTTGCAAGTACCGTAAATCATGTTCTTATCTTGCAGAAATTTACAAAATTCAGTTGAATTTACTTGAATAATCACAAGTTCTTCAAAATGGGACATACAATTCTGTGTTATTGGGAGACATATACATGCCACAAACAAACAAACCGGTACTAAGTGTAATTTCTACTTTTGAAAAGGCAAAAAAAAAACTGGCTTGCATACTAGCAGTTCATTTTTATCAACATCAACTGACCTCTTGGTGTTGGTGACCTTTTTTGATAACCTCCCCATCAGGACACAAAACATTCCCAAGTCTTCTTGAGCAGTTTGCTGCATTGCTTTTGTTGATGCTGGTGGTAGGAGCTGCAGCAGGGGTTGTAGATGGCACACTTTGGCTCTTGCCTTCTACCTTTGGACGTCTGTTCATTGTTGAGTAAATCTTGGCGTTATTGTCAGCTGAACAAATTGAAGCAAAAGAATCACTGAGTGTCCTGATGAGCAGCTTTTGCGCAAACTGAGACACCAGGAGCTGCCTCTTGTCAGCGCCATCTTGCGGTGGACTGAACCAGTGACTGAACTTGTTGCACATCTCGTCCACATCTTCTTTTTTTTTTTTTTTTTTTTAGAAAAAAGTGGATATAACTTTGCATTATTGCATGTGCCATTTGTTTTTTTACAATGGTTTATAAATTGTTTTACTGTAGAGAGTTTCTGAGAAAGAATTTTTGTGAAATTGAAAATAGTTCATGCAAACTTCTGCTGATGATGGCTGTTACAAAATTTGTTAAATTTTGAAAATGTGGCTCTATCTGATCTGGGAATGGTCAATAAAAATAATTTTTAATCCCTGACAAATTTCGCAGCACTTTTACATTGAGTCTTAATTACTTGGATGTGAAAATAATCATTACCCAATTTTATTCTCACTATGTTAGCACTTATCATTTGATAAGTTCAGCTCTCTGCATTGTCATGATGAGCAAATCAAATTTTAAGTGTCCTGCAATGCATTTGGAATACTCTGTCTGTATTGTGGCATTCTCCAAAAATACAGTACTTTCACAATTCACAGCTAGCAGCATTTTTGCCCAACAATGTCTGATGGTCACTGGTCCATTGCCTTTTGACCATCCTGGTTCCTTTTATGTTTATGCCCAGTCATTTACCTTTTGTGTCTGGAGCACAAAGTCTATGAAGGAGTGTCCAAACACTTCTTCTATATTCATTGTTGGTCTTTTCTTTGTTGCTTACAGTTGAAGTTTAGAATTATAAGTACTATAGTCATATTCACTGAAAGAGAAGTATTATTGTTTCACATCACCTCAGAAATAAGAGTTAATCACTTCTTGACTTATGTTGTCCTATAACAGGTAATGTCAGAATGAAGTCAAATTGCTTTCTAAAGGAGACATTTAACTCAGTTGAATTGGCTTTGACAAATTCTGAGGACTTGGGATAACAGCATCACAATTCATAAAACACTGACCAAGATTTTGAAAACAGGTCATAAAATGACCAAATACAAAAGTGTCCAAGCAACTCAATTTCATCATCCCTATTCAGCAAAAATTCAAAAAAAATAATATCAACTTAGAGAAGCGGCAAATTATGAACATGTGTGTGTATGTATGTATGTATGCATGTATGTATGTATGCATGTATGTATGTATGTATGAATGTTTGTTTAAACATCACCTGAGCCATATTCTGAACTGAAGCTGTATCTTGAGCTGTTGCCTCTTGACAAGGATGAGTGATTGTTGCAAATACTGCTTTCTGTAGTTTTTGATTCCAGCCACTGGCGCCTGTCTTGGATGATATCTGCTACCTCTTCATCCACTGGAGGATCCAGGGGCAATCTGTGATTCCAGATAATTTTTTTTTTTGCAAAATAACAGAGGTTTTTAATATCAGTTTCTGCCAATTTTCAAGTTTACAAATTTGGCTTTTTGGTGAGCTTAATCAAGGGGGATTAGTTGTTGGTCAAATTATTGGAAATTTTAACTGATGCCATACATGCATGAATAAGATCTCTAATATCTTGGGGAAGCTTAGAGCATGAGAGGAATGATTTGCATCTGTTTTTTTTCCTCATGGAAAATACAGTGCATTCAAAAATGTAGCCCCAAGTTAATAACACTATTTTTCAATAATAAAGGGAGGCTTGGCCCAAAGAATTCTGAGTTGGGAAGGTTCAAATTACTACAGTATATTGTATAGATTGGACTTAATGAAATTTTAAAAATGTCTGTTGGAAACTAAAATTGAAATGAGTTTTTTTAATTGAAAAATGAGTTTGCAAGGTCCAATTATGTAAAATATAATGTACTCAAACCAGCCAAAGCTGGAATAATGCATATTATTGCATAGCCCAAATTCAACACATTGAGTGAAAAAGTCCAATAATTCAAAAAACCATCAGACAAAAATATATACAACTATAGTTACACCAAAATGTAACATGTGAGCAAAGTCAATCTCAATGGCTTTAAAAATCCATCTTTGAAAGGAAACTAAAATTGTTTTGTTCAGATCAAAGATAAAGTGATTTCTGGAACTTACATGGGTTGGTCATCATCTGGCAACTTGTTCTCCTCTTCAGTTTGCCTTTCCAAAGCTTCCCTGAGTCTCTCTGCAAAAGTTCCTCTTCTAGAAGTTCTGCCCTGCAGGAGTTTGAATGCAGCAAGTCCTTCATCATCATCCCCTGCATCCTTGTCAATTTCTTGATAAATTTAAAGGAAGAATCAGATTCATTGAAATTCTTTGGTGTTGCATGTTAGTATAGAAGCTTGAAGGTTATCTTTTTCTGGTAAATTATTCTGTTCTGTAAATTTCATCACAGGATCTTGTATAGCAACCAATTTCCTGGAACCTGAAAATTATATTATGTGAGAGTGCAGCAAACTTGGAAAATATAGTTCTGAGCAATATTTTAAAAGCAAAATTCCATCATAATACAGTTGACCTTTGCTTGACCAGCAAAACCCTTTTTGGCTGATTTTTTGTTTCACAAAACATGATTTTACATCATTCTTGATTGAATCTGTAGTTCATTCCTGAAATTCACAAAGAATGTATGATAGAAATTTGAAAACTGTCAATTGAAACACTTGATCCTTTTGATTTATGCTCACATTTTCTGAAAGTCATCAGTTTTTGTGCCTGGAAAAGGCAAGACTTCATTGCTTTTTCTCTTCTACAATTTTTGCCTTGACCAGAATCAACTTGAAATTTTATACTGTACTAAAAACTTATTGAAATTAATTCATCAATATATCTGAAGACTTTCATTTGGCAAAAGGAATTTCATGATGGCAGCAAGGAACATTTTTCTCACCAAGAAATTGTTCTTAAATACACTTTTGTCAAGTGATGATCTACTGTTATCTATATTGTTATACTCCACGACATAGATGGCTCTGCATTGCAAAACTGTAATTTTTTTTACTCTGTTATTATTTATTAACATTTTACTTCTTTGAACAACTTCAATCTTCAGAAAATTAATATAGAACTGATGAAAAAATGTGTTTCACTGTATTTAATAATGCAGAGAAATCATGGAAATATGCTGTACATTGCCTATATAAGAAACAATGTGTCAAGTTTTTCTCACCACCAGCATTGTCAATACTGCTGCCAGCACTCAAGAACTCTTCACTGTCCTCACAACATGTCAAATAATTGGATTCAGTGCTGTAAGTCCTTTCAGTATGCTTGCTGGTTTGCACTTTTTCCATGCTAATTTTTGGTGACAAAGACCTGATGCTGGACAGACTGTCCACAGTTTGGTCCTCTTGTTCAAGTTTTGCCAAGCAAGCAGCAGTTTCTGTGTCCATGGATGTGGTCATAGTTGGTGCAAGGTCTTGCAGTCTGCTCACTGCCTTTCTGCTGGTCATCCTGAGTTCCAATTTCTTGAATTTTTAAGGAAAAGAGAGAGGGAGAGAGAGAGATATATATTTAAAAGTACAGTCAACCCCCGTCTAACAGACTTGATTCGTGCAGGGACGAGTCTGTTAGACAAAAAGTCCTTTACACGAATTCAATTACATGAAAAATTAAAAATTTCAATTTTCAACACTAATTTTAAACCAAAAGAAGTNAAAAATTAAAAATTTCAATTTTCAACACTAATTTTAAACCAAAAGAAGTCTGTTTGGCGGATTTTGTCTGTTGGGCGGGAGGAAAAACTGCTTGCAGAGCTGGTCTGTTTGGCGAAAATCCCTTACATGGGAGGTCTGCCACTGTATATTCACCTGAACCTTTCTGAGTATATCTTTGAGTAGAAATTGAAGGGACTGGGAAATAAATTTGACTATGGGGAAATTTTGCAGAGCATTTTTTGTTCACAAAGCTTTTTGTGAGAATTCCTCAAGCATATTTTTATTGTGCTTCCACTAAATATGTGACAGGTCTTTCTCAGTAAAAAAAAAACATGAAATGCAGCAAGGTCCTTAGACTGCTGGGTCCATATATGATAGAGGATGTTCATCAAAAAATTTTGTAATACTGAAATTGGCAAGTCTGTTGTAACAAGATTTTTATATAATGTGTACCATAAAGGTTTCTACCAGGACTTTGAAAAAAGTTTTTTGTCCTGAAAATTATGTTTTAATGAGATTTGTTGTAACAAGATTTTACTGCAATTCAATTGACCATAAATTAACAACAATATGAAAGGATGGAATATAGAGATAATCATATTCAATACCTGCTGTGAAATGGAACTGTCTCCATTCCTGGTCAACTTATTGGTGCTTTGTCTCATCTGGGTTTTGTAGGACTCTGGGGACCCAGACCTGGATTCCCCCAGAGGAGACAACCTGACATTCTCATCAGGGGAATCAAAACCAATCACTGCCTTGTTCAGTTCTCTGAGGATCCAGATCTCTTCAAACTGGCTCACTGGGCACTCACTGAAGTCTTCTGCATCAATCAGACACAGTTTGCATTCTGTGCTGTCCACATCTTCCACCTGATGCATATTATTATTTTTTCCATCAGCATGTGCTTGTGTGTCAGAAGTTCAGAAACATTTTTTTAAAAATTCAAACAAGTTGAAAATTTGCTTTGATTAAATTTTTAACTAAAAATGTACTGTACAGTATAGTTATCTTTTTACTGGCCATTTATTTAATTAAAAAATTTCCCAGAAAAAATGTACAGGGTGCACCGAAAATTTCACTAATTTCTCTACAACTTTATTGAGCCAGAAACTGTACCACTGTGATTTCACTCATCCAAATTGAGTCAACAAATTGCAAGCAATATTTCAACCCTATAGTATTTTATTGAAATTATGAATAAAATTATTGGAAGCCGCAGAAAAATTGTTGCGTGCTTTAAGCGTACCCATTGTCAAATTAATTATTTCTCATTCAAAAACATTTGTTTTGACTCCATGTCAATTTATTCTGGTTGCTCCACTTTTTCAAATATCAACATTAATTTTTTTTTAATTTTTTGTAAGAATTTTCTTTCATTGTGCTGCTCAAGGTTGAATGAAATTCGTGAAATTTGAAGGAATTAATTTAGCAAATGTATCCTGGAAAAAAAAATCACCTTCCGGGATCCGGTTAGATCTTCGGAAGTTGGTGAGACAGTGACACGGATGTCGGAGAACTGTCGAGTGCCGTCGACCGTCAGGGATTCGTTGTCTTCCAGGGCCTCCACACAACACATTGTCACCATTAACTCGGGTCTGGTGATCATTGTTGTCACTTCATCCTAATATTTGAAAGAAAGAGAGAGAGAGAGAGAGAGAGAGAGAGAGAGAGAGAGAGAGAGAGAGAGAGAGAGAGAGAGAGNGAGAGAGAGAGAGAGAGAGAGAGAGAGAGAGAGAGAGAGAGAGAGAGAGAGAGAGAGAGAGAGACCCCAGTTCAAAAGGAATATAAATTGGAAGCATCATGCTTGAATGAATATGAATCACTTGTTCACTTATTGTAATGGTGTGTGAATAATTTGACTCAAATTTTAAAAATGTAAACCTAGAAAATATATATTTCTGGAAACCCTGACTCTGTATGCATGCATCCAGCATCAGCAATTGGAAACTATATCATGTAAATTTCAAGAATAATCCTATATAGTTACTGTAAATCATTCAATTTTATGCATCTCCCAGCAAATGACAATAATGTTTCAATAAAAAAATCAATTCAGAAATATGTAAATAAATACAGGAGATTTATTCATCTTGAAGATCATATAAAGTTCACATGCACTAGCTTTTCTAGATATGTACAGTCAACCCCCGTCTAGCGGACTTGATTTGTGCAAGGGACGAGTCTGTTTGACAAAAAGTCCTTTACACGAATTCAATTACATAAAAAATTAAAATTTCAATTTTCAACACTAATTTGAAACCAAAAGAAGGCTGTTTGGCGGATTTTGTCTGTTGGGCAGGATTTTTCAACACTAATTTTAAACCAAAAGAAGGCTGTTTGGCGGATTTTGTCTGTTGGGCAGGAGGAAAAACTGCTTGCAAAGCTGGTCTGTTCGGCGAAAATCCCTTACACGGGAGGTCTGTTAGGCGGGGGGCCACTGTATACTGTACCTGAGAGAACTTGTCATGGGTGCGATGCTTGCTGGACGTAGATGGCGCTGAGGCGCAACTCAGGAGTCCAGCACCCACAGCCGCATTGGCAGACACGCACCGCGTGACGCGAACGCCATCTGTGGCAGACTTGCTGCAAACTCCGTTATTATTTTCATTATTGCCAGGTACCAGAACAACTGGACACAGACGTTGTCGGCACTCTGCCCAGTCCTCGATCCGCATGTGGTCTCTGGCAGGCATCACCTATACGAATCAATGAATGACGAATTTGTTTGAATCGAGGGTTTTTCGAATTCCAAACTATAGGTGTCGCTCTTGTGAAAAAAAACAGCCCCACTTTTCCATTTCATTCTCGTTGTTGTGTTGTAGCAAACGTATTATTTCAGCCTTGAAAAATGCATAAAGCGAATTTGTACCACAAGCAGTTTTTCCCTGATTTGGAGGAATACATTTTTCAATTGTCATTTTCCAAACTGAAAAAAAAGCTCATAATTAGCCCTGATACACTGAATTTTACAGGTAAAATACCTGAATCAGTAGGAATAAAGAATTTATATTTCATGATGCTGAATATTCTTATTTCTAGATGTGATTGCAAGAAAGCTTTTCTTGGTTTTGATACAGTCAAACCCCAATATATTAGTGCCAGTGTTTGTCCTTGCACATTTTGTTGTACTTATAAGCAAGGGTGGCACTATATCAAAGATTTTGTTTAATAGAGAAAGAGGTCCATATCAGGGTTTCCACTATTTGAGTAATACTGTAATAAGCTTGCTTACTGGAATTTTAGGTCAGTCACAGTGTTTTATAATAAGAGAGAAATTCAACATAAATAATTTGAAGCTCAAAGGTACATTTTAATATTATTTCAAAATACTGTGTATCAAGGTAAAATGTATTTTAAACAAATGACATATATTAAGAGATCACAGCTGTTTCTCAAGATTTTGTGTACATTTGAGTTAGTTTTATATACCGTAGTGCCGTCATGAAGGAATTGCCAATTTTTCCCCAAAGCTTCTTATAATCCAATTATATCCTTGGGAAAAGGCCTCAGTTTACTTCAATGTCTGAAGAACCCATTTTTTGAAAAACATGACATAGATTAAAATACCCCATGCACTGTGAGCGACACCTAGCCGCGTTTTGCCAAAGAATCCGCAAACGATCCTCACCCTCCTAGTGATGGATATTTCCCCAGTCGGAGGGTTTTCCTTGATGCGATTGAAGTACCGGAAAAAACACCGCAGCTTAATTTGTTGATCAATTCTGCAAAAATAATAACAAAAAGGTGTATTCATAAATTAAATATATTGGGAGTAAGAAAAACAAAAAGACAGGAAGAGAGTAGATGAGATATACAATAAGATTGCGGCTGGAATATTCTGAGCCTCACGGAAAGAACCCAGATGAGGAAAGCACGAGAAAATCGTCCTTGAACATAAAAAAAGAGAGACTGAATCACACAAGAAAAAGGAGACCTGAAAAAGGGCGCTCACTAAGTTATTTCACGACCTTGTGTCAAGATGTTAATCAATCATCATTTTCCATCATTATATGATGCATTTTTTATATTATTTTATTTTGAAGAAACAAATATAAATTTGATGATCTTCAAAAACTTTTTCAGGAGAAAATTTTCCACATTTAGAAAAGATAAAGAGGAGGACTCATGGGGTTTTCAAAACTCTTCAACATTTCCTCAGTTCATATTTTATTTTGGAACTTGGCTTCCAATAATGTAAAAAGCTTCCTGTTTACATTTTTCTTATAATCCAATTATATCCTTGGGAAAAGGCCTCAGTTTACTTCAATGTCTGAAGAACCCATTTTTTGAAAAACATGACATAGATTAAAATACCCCATGCACTGTGAGCGACACCTAGCCGCGTTTGCCAAAGAATCCGCAAACGATCCTCACCCTCCTAGTGATGGATATTTCCCCAGTCGGAGGGTTTTCCTTGATACGATTGAAGTACCGGAAAAAACACCGCAGCTTAATTTGTTGATCAATTCTGCAACAATAAGAACAAAAAGGTGTATTCATAAATTAAATATATTGGGAGTAAGAAAAACAAAAAGACAGGAAGAGAGTAGACGAGATATACAATAAGATTGCGGCTGGAATATTCTGAGCCTCGCGGAAAGAACCCAGATGAGGAAAGCACGAGAAAATCGTCCTTGAACATAAAAAAAAGAAACTGAATCACACAGGAAAAAGGAGACCTGAAAAAGGGCGCTCACTAAGTTATTTCACGACCTTGTGTCAAGATGTTAATCAATCATCATTTTTCAACATTATATGATGCATTTTTTATATTATTTTATTTTGAAGAAAAAAAATATAAATTCGATGATCTTCAAAAACTTTTTCAGGAGAAAATGTTCCACATTTAGAAAAGATAAAGAGGAGGACTCATGGGGTTTTCAAAACTCTTCAACATTTCCTCAGTTCATATTTTATTTTGGAACTTGGCTTCCAATAATGTAAAAAGCTTCCTGTTTACATTTTTTGAGCTCACTCCAAAAAATTCATTGCTGAGAAAAACTTTTCTTCAAATTGGTAGATCTTTACTTCTGTGAAAATTTTCAACTGCTGGCAACACTGAGGCACAAAATTCTCAATTCTCTATTTATTATATACTGTAGCATAAAGGAAAACAATATGGTTACTTTTCCAGAAGGGAACTTTTTTTGATGTTCTGAGAACAAAGGAATTTCACCAATAAGCCTTATTCCAGAAAAGATGAAAAATTTCCAAATAGCCCTCCATATCTGATTTTTTTTAAACTGCTACAAAACCTTCACACTTGAAAAAAATTTTCAAATAATATTGAGGCAACCTGCCCAGATATTTTGAGCCAGAAAAATAATCCCCCAGAAATTTAATGATGGCCCCTCCCCCCACCTTTTTTTTTCTTTTTCTTCTCCTGCATCAGCTCATACAAAAGACTTGAGGCTCTCCATCCATTCATTTATGCCTCCAAAGAGACACCTTGAAAAGAAAGGGGGACCCAAAGAAAAGGTATTTTCTGCAGAGGGTGATTGATTTCCCATGATATTCCCTCTCACAAGCTCTGCTTATTCTGCAGGAAAGATGACATCACTGATTTTTTTTTCTCCTTTTTTGATCAGCTGTAGGTTGGTAACGCTGGATGCAATATTATTGGGAGAGGTGATGTTTAAAAAAAAAAGTCGCGCACGTTTTTTTTTGTACAAGAAAGTCATTGATCAAGTGTCAAACAAGGGTCACATGTTTGCCCACAATGTTTGCCTTTCTGGTTTTTTTTTTTTTTTTGCTCTTGGTGGGGGAAATCAATTCAGAATTCTGAAAGCCAAAGGAATCTCTATTTTTCTTTGTCTTCTTCTTCTTTTTTGGGGATGATGCTGATGATGATGAATGATTCCTGTCCTCCTTTGTTCATTGTTCCAGAATATATGAGCTAAACACTGAGGCTATGACTTTTTTTCTTTCTTTCTATATAAAAATACAATTCATTGCTTGTGTATCAGGATGAGAATTGAGGAGTGAGTCATTTAAAATTCCAGGGAACTGTTATTGTTTTTTACACCTAAATATGTATGGGAAATATTTTTTATACAAGCTTAAAGGAATTATTTTGTGGACTGGATGTTTGCCAAAATTGTTTGTGAATAATCAACATGTTTCATTGAGAAAAAAAACATCCCCTATTGTCTTGTAATATGTAGCAGATAATTTTCCAGGCCAGCATTCTTGATTCAAAGAAGGTTTTTCAAGGAATCTTTTGTCTTGAGGAATTTACGGATACGTTTGATGTTGAAAACATTTTTTGCACTGTTACTCTAACTATTGCTGTTCTTTCAACAAATTCTTGGTCTGAATTTTCTTCAATTTTGAAGGGAGTAAAATGCTTGTTGTTACAAGATTATTGGTTTTTAAAGCAAATTGTCAAGTCAAATATTCCAGACAGTCAAAAAGTATTTTACTGCATTTCTTGAAAATGTGATATGATGCAAGGGTTAAGGTTTAATTGGGAAACAGCTTATGTCTACAGCAGAATTTTGACATAGATTCAATTTTGAAACCATTTTGAACTATATTTTTTATATTTCAGATGTTAATTATTCTGCAATCCAATCCTTAGTCTGCAATTTAGAACATACTTTATGTACATTTTGATTTTGAGATGAAGGAATTTCAAAGCAGAGTGTGGCTTCAAAAATTCACAGTAAGAGATGGACTTGATCTTGAATGTACCATTTATATAATGCAGCTCATCTGATTCCACTGTCATTCTGTCAAAAATTCATTTTATGCATTTTCTGAAAATCTGATGATTCAAGGTTGAAGATTTTGAGAGGAGTCAAAAAGATTTTGAGAGTATAAAAAAAACTGGAATTAATTATTACACGCGCGTGCATAATTTTTACCCATTTTTCATTTGATTGAGGTGTTACTCTGTAATCCAATCCTTTTCAGCATTTTCTATGCATGATGGATGTTCCATCATGTTGAAATATAATTTCAATAAGATTATTTTATTAGATTTTATAAAATCATTTTTTGGGTGTTGCAGGTATGTGAGATAGATTTCATTCAATTTCTTGAATTGCAGCAGATGCCTGATGCTGATGTTGATCCTATAGATTTCATAATAATGATGCAGAAATAATAAGAGACATCAGTTATCCTCCTCCTCCTCCAGCAGCAACAGCAGCAAAAGCTCATCTGCCCACACTTGCAATCAGTGTCCCATGCACACATTTGGAAGCAATTAAACCCTGGGCCCCTCCTTTTCCTCTAATTGATCCAGTCCCCAAAATGGAGACCCACACTGTATATTCCAGATCGCATCTCATCATGATGAAGGGGACAAATGTCCATTATATACAGCTGTACTGATGAGTACACACACACACACACACACACACACACACAAACAGACACAATCCCACCAGCATTTTAGGCCCTGATGCTATTCCAGGACCCATCAGCAGACAAAACAATCACTCATTCCAGTATATTTTCTTGGCCAATACTGAGATGGGTGTTTCATTTATACATGTATATATATTTCTGGCTTGTCTGAGTGGGCCTTGATGCATGTTCCTCTTGATTGCCAACCCACGCGTTTTTCTGCTGCTGCTGCTGCTGCTGGGGGCCCTTTTTTATATTATATCCTTGGAATAATGTTGAGCAGTATAGAGCAAGTGTTATATAGTGAGTTTCTCTCTGTTTTCTTTTGGTTGTATGTGAAAAAAAGAAAGGAAAAAAAGGGATGGGATTAATGCTGATGCTGGGAGCCCAGAAAGGAAAAGAATCCTTGCTTTGAAGTCTGGTCCAAAGTTGGGCAGTGCCTCAAGAGATTTGGGGGGCCCCCCCTTGGGTTCTTCTCTCTTGACCATCAGCAGCAGCAGTTGTAGGAAAGAGAGAGAGAGAGAGAAGGACACACCTCAAGGAACCATATTTTTATTTTTTGGAGGATAAATTCTACTGTATAGTATATATTGTATTTTGAAAAAGAGATTACTGGTTGAAGAAAGTCAAGATTTTGAATTTTTTAGTAGTGAAATATAGTTTTCATATGTGCTGGCATTCCTATAAAGTTATGGATTCTGGTTTTTATTCAAGAGGGAATAAGCAAAAAAAAAAACTCTTGTATAGAGCAAGTCAATGGCATGTTTTTTAAGAGCATTTTTAGGTCTTCTGGTGCTGATTATTTTCACTTTTGTTTCAATGAGATTACAGTATAACAAATTTAGGAGCTTTTGTTTTTTTCATCTCATGGAGAATGGGTTGCAATTAATTATAGCCATTTAAGGTCTTCTTACACTTTTCTATATATGTATGCATCTTTGATGAAAAAAGAAAATTTAGCAGCTTTTTTTTATAAATGTAAACACACTTTCTTTATGCAGTAATAGTTTTGGAATATTCTATAGTTTCCATTTCCATTTTCTCTACATTATTTAGGAAATAGATCATGTTTTTATGAGCAATTAAGTCAGGATATAAATGTTATCTGTCAATTATTTGCAGGTCTGAATAACTCTTCTGGTCTGGATTTTAATTTTACTGAGATGATAGAGAACATGCTCTTGTTTCAAGAAATTCCAGGTTTTTATTTCTAAAATTAGAAATAAGGGAAAGAATCAGAATGTATAAGAGTTAAGTTTCTTGAGAAAGCAGCTGTGTGTTTGATTTATTATGGTAAAAACGCAGTAATAATTTGCAAAGGAATTTAACACCTTCTGAAGTGAAAAACCTTCTTAATTTGAATTTCTTTGTAGTCCTGGTCAATTTACTCAGACATTTTGGGTTTCATTCTTGCTCAATTAAATTTCTAAGGTCTTCTCGTGTTCTACATTTGGACCAAATTTCAGAAAAAACTGCTCCAGAATGCCATAAATACAATATAAATTGTTTTTTTTTCAACATTGCTCAAAAACAGGAGTTCAGCATTTTCCTGCAAGCTTATGACATCTATGAATAATGAACCATTGCAATAATTTGGCAGGAAAATGATTTTCATTGAATAAATATCAGCACAAAAATGCAAGTAAATTTCCCAACTCAAAAACTCCTAAAGCCAATTTTTTTTTTTGGAGTCCCACCTTCAAATTCATCTCAAAGAAGTTCAACTGTAATAATAAAGTAGCAAAAAATAAATAAAATATAAAATGAGGTAGTACAAAAGGGTTCTCCACTTGATACCAGTTGCAAGTGTCTCATTGAGCAAGACAGGTGTCACTCCTTGATTAATGTATTTCCCATTTGGGCACAGTACCAATGTGAGACTCCCTTGTACCCTGTCAAATGTTTTGCATTTGCCTTATTCCCTTTTTTTTAAATTCTCAATTGATTCTTTTTTTTGCTTCATTTATTCCTGCGAACTTTCTTGAATAAGTCTATGGTAGAGTGAGCATAAAATACCGTGAGGAAACCGGTGAGAATTAATTTTCTGTTGAGAATTTACCATGTGCTGCTTTTAAAATTTAAATATTCCTTATAATCTGTAGAAAAGAATTCATATTCATATATCATCAAAGTGGGGATTGAGGTGATATTATTATGAGATTATTGTATATGGACGTTTTTGGAATGCTGATGACAGAAAAAAATACAAAATATTCTATTGTATGTACTGTATATACAAACTTGCCAAAAGTATTAGGTCAGAATCACTCATCATCACCGTCGTCCACTCGCGGAATTCGCAGAAACTCAAGTCACTCATTGTCATCTGACATTTCTAAAATAGATGTATTTGAAAGAGAAAAAAAACATTACTGATATAAAAAATGATGTTCTGAAGCTCTGTAATATTTTTTTCTGATTTTTAAAAAGTTTCTCAATTTACTGCGTGATGAGTGAAAACTTTTCAGTTAAAGCCTTTTCAGAGTTCTTGGCTAATGTCACAAGGAACTAAAATATGCAAGGCTTGCTTATAGAAATTGATTTTTTGTCTTGTTTTGAATTTTATCTAAAATTTAGAAAAGATAATGGTTAAATTGTATAAGGATTTTAGCAGGTTTGAGACATTTTTCAGCACCTTGGGTTGACTTGGGTGCTGGAGAACTTTGGCTGTAACTGAAAAGGTTTCACTCAATTTCCCAAAAATGTTCTGCAAACCACCAAAGTTCCATAAAAATGTCGCAGACTCAAACAAGTTTTGTTTGAAAAGCTTTATGGCATAGTCTTTAAATAATTTTCTGCTTTCTTTTTGAAAAAATTAAGGTTAGAACCAATGGAATGTCTTGAAATAAATTAGAAAAGGTGGGCTTGAAAAAAAAGGTTTCTCAGAATGAATAATTAAAATAATTTATTTAACTGGGTGACAAGTAGTCTGAAGCATTATTATAAGAGCAAAGCCCAATTTTATTTTTCTTTGCATAATTTTGAATGCCACTGCCTCTCCAAAATTCCAGATAAAGATAACAGACTTCATTGCTATGCAGTGTACCCTTGGTTAATAAGCTTAATTATTGGTTCCAGAAAGAAGTTTGTTGACCAAATTTAATTTTCCCTCAGATTTCAATGGGGAATAATTTAATCTGTTCTGTGAACCCAAAAGACAATTGAAACCTTGAATATAAAAAATTTGAGACCATCAACTATAATCAAAATTAGTCATTGCTTCATCTTAGGTAAGCCCAGAATGTTTTCACTGTGTCACTCATGTGGAAGTAGCACTGATAAAAAAAAGATAAACAAGCTTCACATCCTGAGAAACACATACTATGTATAGGATACATGGCAAGTGAAATGAATTTTTTGATAATGCTGCAACTAAAAATCAAATAGATCTTTCTAACAATTGAAAAACTAGAGGAACCAGGCAGAGAAAAGCAAATAATTCTTTCACAAAAGAGCATACAGTATACATATGAATGATTTGGCTGAAATAAATTTTAAAACACAATATATTACACATATTAGAGTACCAGAATGGAAGAATTTTCATATCAATGCATATGTGAATTATTTGCACCTGGATTGTAACAAAAATTTCACCCTTGAAATCATATCTTGAATTTTAAAAATTGGGGATTTTTCTGCAGAAAAAAGTTTGTTAACCAAATGTTTTGTTTGTCAACCAAGGAAATTTTCTTCAAAACCAAAAGTTTGTTAACCCAGTGGTTTGCCAATTAAAAGGTAACTGTATATGAAACAGTTGGAAATTTGCAGACAAGCAAATTTCCAAAAATAATTGTCTTTGTACTGGCAAAGTTTGATTGCATTTTTTCAGACTCAAAATTTTTTGTAAGACTTTATGGCAGGTATTTAGGCATTTTCTGATTTTTTTGAAAAACATTAACCACCAATAATGCAGCTATATCTCAGAATGAAAAATTGAAATAATTCTTTTCAAGAGGTGAGAATTTGTCTGAAGCATTATTAGGAGAAAGAAGCCAACTTTTTTTAATCATATAATTTCAACTGCAATTGTCTCAATTCCAAAATTTTAGGTAAAGATGACAGACTTCATTATTGGCATACTTTTGATAAATTTGTCTTATGCTTAATTACATTTTATGTGGAATGGAAATTTGTATTTGCTTTTTTCCAAAAATTAACCAGTGAAGCAGCTATATGGTATGATACCTTGAAAAAAATTAGGGCTTGAAGAAGGGTTTCTCATGATGAAAAATTAAAATAATTCAGTTCAAAAGGTGAGAATTTGTCTGAAGCATTGTAAGGAAAAA